GCCGCCAAGTACGTAGGCGGGACCGATGTTCTGGAAGTGCAGAAGTCGCAAGAACAAATGTTTTTTTTTATCTACTCAACTCACCCTCTAGCTTGTTCAAATCGAGGTTGAGGTTCTTGAGGGCGCCAAGATCTCCTAGCCCGCGCGGGATGTGGCCTGTAGATGAACGAGTCAAAGCAGGGCAGTTTAACGGGATAAAAGCAAAAGATACCTCCCGCTTTCTAGAAGATCCATCCCGCCAACTAAAGAAAAATCCCCGCGCTTTCCGTACAAAAGTTTCGTGGACGCGTAGGCGTTGGCGTCCATTCACGCAGTACGCGGGGTTCATGCAGGCAGAACTCGCAAGAAAACAAAACTCTTTTCGATCTGGTCAACTCACCATCTAGCTTGTTGCGACAGAGGGAGAGGTACTGGAGGGCGCCAAGCTGTCCGAGCTGAGGCGGGATATGGCCTGCAGATGAACGATTCAACGCAGGGCAGTTTGGCAGGGTACAGAATAAGTTATCCCGCGAGTTCTGAAGTTTCGTGGACGCCAACGTGAAATTTCGTGGACGCCAACGCCTACGCGTCCACGAAACTTTTGTGCAGAAAGCACGGGGATCTTTCTTTTGTCTCCTCCGAATTTGCAAATTTATCATGCAAATTCATGTTGCGCTCCATAACTCGCCGCTTAGCTCGTTGTTTCGAAGGTAGAGATATTGTAGCGCTGCGAGGTTCCCGAGCTCCCGCGGGATGGGGCCTGCGAGCAAGAGGGCGATACAAACCAAGCGCGACAAAAAAACAAGACATATGATCTGCTGTCGATGAATCCCGCGGATGCGTCGGTGTCCATGCACGTTCTCACGGGAGGCAGAAAAGAGTTTGAAGATATGGTTCACGTGCCCTCGCACCTGTGTGCGTCATTTTTTGCAAAACAATTCGCTCGCGCATTAACTTTCTGTGAAGCAGGACGGCATGATCTTCTCTGCAATCTTGTTCAACTGCTGCTGCCTGTGCTACTGATATGAAATTGAGTCTTCGTCTCTTGTGCTCTGGCAGTATGGCCAGGTTGCTTGGGGAAGTGCGCATATGTGTGTGCTTTAGTCAGTCAGGTTGAACACCGCAGCTTCCGTTCCACACCAAATGGACAGCAACGAGAAAAAATCAACTTGCACTAGTTTGACACTCGCATTTTCGCACGGCGAAAACCCTTGAAATATTCGTTAGCAATCTGGCAAAACCAAAACTTTGCGTTTTCGCAAACACCCTGCTGGCTGTTGTTGTCCCCGCGCTCCACCAGTTGTTTTTTGCACAGAAAAGTTCGGTAGGGTACTGGGTCTGTCACAGAACTCACAGAAATGTTCGGTAGGGTGCTGGGTCTGTCACAGAACTCACAGAACTATAGGGTTACTGTGGCGCGACCTTCACAGAACTCACAGAACTCGTCTGTTGGTAGTTACCGAGGGTACCTACCCCCGGTGTGGATCTATGGGTACCCTACAGAACCTACCCTTGGTTTTTTGTTGCCATAGAGGTAGAGGTACTGCAAGGCGCTCAGTCTTCGTAGTCCAGGCGGGATGGGTCCTGCCGTTAAAAGTCAATGTGAAATGCGTGGGGTATAGTTAAGGTTTGTATAGAAATGCATGAATTGTGCGTCAACCACGCGGGATTCATGAGGCACATTTCTGCAGAAATACATATAATGGTTCGCATTATTCATCTCCAGGACTCACCATTTAATTCGGAGGCCCAGCAGCTGCAACGAGCTCAGATTTCCTAGCTGCGGTGGGATAGATAATCAAAAGGACGCAAATTGTTGAATAACAACGAACAAATCTTCATTGCTGGAACACATTCTGACGTATGTACTAGAATCGCCAGTTTCCGGAAGTTAAGGTTGTACTGCCACCCCTCTCGTGAAATTTGGCTGTTGTACAGCCCAAGTTTATTTAACTCGGCGAGGGCTCCCAGCTCTGCACAAAGCAGCATACACTAACGGCTCCTGTACAAGTGAATGGGTCTGAAACGTTGGGGACGAGTCAAGAGAAAACTCCCTCAAATTGTTGCCATTTTTGATTGGTTTGACACATTGAAGAATAAAACAAAGACGGAGATCCTCAGAGAGTTGTGGGCCGTTCCTGCCGGAATGACGATCACGTAAATTTCTGCTGTGTCGCTGTCGTATGCTGGCTCGCAGCTCGCACATATGAATCGCAGACAACGAGCTAGACAGGAGAGATCAAATGCAAGAAAACATGCACCAAGAGCCGCAGCGGCTGCCATTTTGTCTGCCCCTCCTGCATCGACTCTGGGCGGGACCAGCGGAATCTCTTTGTCAAATCCGATTTTATCTTAACAATCTCTCTTGACACGTAGCGGTTACTGCTGTAGCGGCTGAGGAAAATATGATGTCTTCGTGTGATCAAGCTTCTACGTGTGTGGTCTGCCATCGAGTGGGTGCGCAGGCAAGTGGTCTACAAAAGCGGGCGAGATATTTGGCAACGCACCTGGGACGGTTTGTGAGCGGACAATTGGATCTTATGCCTATCCCTTGACTTTTGCCCGGAAAACATTCGCCATCTAGCCCAAGGACGTGTCGGTTGACCTCTCGTTTGGAATCAATCCTCAGGCGGCCGGCGAGTCTTGTTTCGTCGATATTGATTCGGTCGTGTTTCGTCGATGTGCGGTTTCAATTGTCCTGAAGAAACTGTTTGCCCTCCCATGGGTCTTGCGCAGGTGACGTGCCGCGAGAACTTGCCCAGTTACAAAACTTGGGTCATCTGCTTCTTTCGCGCAACCCTGGTCTGGTTGGTGAGTACAGGTGGGGTTGTACGCTGTGCGTACATAAGTTGTGGTGATGTACTCCGTCGCCTCTACCACTCGGCTCTCGTGAGCTGTCAAAACCTTCATGGTCCAGATTTGTCCCATGTTCATGGTTTCGCCTTGCTTCTTGCACTGACTGCTGGCATGCTTCGCTTTTGTTCTTGTGCAAGGCCCGATCCCTCCTAGTCATCCACAGGGAGACGCCATGCAAAAGTGGAGCCGTATTCCTACCGAAGAAGCTCGTGCAAAACTTGTCGCTGCTGACCGCGGAGAATCGGGTACGTTTAGTTTGCTGCTGAAATCGAAGGTGCACTAAACTTGTCAAGTTGTAGTACGTCAAGTGACCGAAGAATTCGATACTCAGATGCGTGTTTTTGACATGATGGTGACGGTTGTCCTCGTTTGCTCCAGGTGCCCCCCAGCCTTTTCTGGTGAGAGCGATCCGCACCGCGACGAAGCTGTGGCACACGGCGGTCCCCGTGATGGATGACTATACGGACTTCGCTCTTCTTTGGACCACTCGTGACGCTCCGGGTCCGGTGTGGTGGCTTTGTCTCATCATGGTGGTGCTTGCCGATGTCGAGCGTCTGTGGTTCCTGGCAACCCTGTGCATGACCTTCTGCTCTGCCGTGGTTCTGCTTCCTTTCCTTGTTGGGGAATGTTTTTTCGGAACCCAAGGTGACATTTTAGGGACAGTATTTGCTCGACTCAACTGTAACCACGATGTGCGCCGCGGCACGTTACGTGGGCGTGTGCTGGACACGTTTCTTTGGGCCCTGATTGGGTCAAGAGGGCGATGCACCCCCATTTTCAGCTTGCTGGGGCTGAGCGGGAATGCCACGAAGGGGCAGATTGACGAGGCCGGTGTTGGCTTCAGTGCAGTAGACGAGTGGGTGTCTCGTCACCCGTTTCATTGGCTGGGCATGAAAGTGTTTCGGGGCTTCGAATTGAAGGGTTCTGGTGAGACGGTGACGAGGCAAGGGGAAGTGGTGATCAGGGCCGTGGGCGAGACGATCGTAGTGGACCCTTTGTTTCTCCTACTTTCAGTCTTGAGCGGGGGTTTGGACGAGGGCCTGACGGGTTTCGCTGGAGTGTCGGCCCTTTTTTCCGTCCTGGAGCTGTTGACAGAGCTGCAGTATTACGTGGAAGAATCCGCGAAATGGCTACGGCCCGTGAGTAGCCCTGTCACTGATGATGCAAGACGAGCTCCTGCGAGCGATGGCGAAATACTGCAGTCCGATGCAAGACATGCTCCAACACGTTCTCCTCCGAGCGATAGTGAATACTGCGAGGCGTAGGGAACACCGGGGGTGTAAAGTTGTGCAAGTTTTCCACCGAAACGAAGTATGGAGATCGAGAATGAAATTGCCCACATGACTGTGCGGTATTGTACAGGCATGCATACCAGGTGTCAGAAACCCGTATCCGGAAAAAGGGTAGATTTCATTGCGTTGGTTCATCCACCGGCGGCTAGCTTTTGAGCGGTTGATTCCTTGAGAATAAAATGTGTGCCGCTTGCCGCTTCGTACCGCGGCTCTCACAGAAACCGGTTTTGTCAATGACCAATAATCGGCTCTTTGAAGATGTGTTGTATCACCGCCAGACTGTAGTCCTGCTAATGGTACTTTCGGGCAGCGTGGGGGGCTTTGTTGGACGTGCTTGCGCGCGTCCGCGGTAGCGAATTTTGAGCCGGGGCTACTACGGCTGTTCCTCTGTTTGCTTTCTGCTGGGGTGCATTGTTCTGCTCGGTATCGATGAAAATACAGGGCAATCTTTTGTAAGTGTGAACCATCTGCAACCTTGTTTGTGTGGGTTCTAACGGTCCGCCTTGCGGTGGTCGATGTTGAATGATTTCCTGTCGGTCGTGGTCGGATCGCGCTCGAAGTCGTTCGTTGATAAAGTTTGGGACGGCAGGCGATATGCTCGTGGTTTGTGATGGGCCTGCCTTTCGCTGATATTCTCGATGTTGCAGTTGCCCACGAAACCCCGTCACTACGCATTCGTAGGCCAGGGCGGACATGACACAAAGCCTTGCCCAAAAAATGCAGGAACGATATGCCCGCCCTCGCTATGGAAAAGCTCAAGAAGGGGGGCAGATGCGGTTTTCAAAATACCGCCGAACGAAACCACTGCTGTATGTAGTCTATACAGTAGGCCTGCTGCGGCTCAGCACCGTCGCCGAAGACATGGTCTCATGAACTCTGTGACCCTTCTTCTGTGTGTACTCTGTGCAAAGACAACAGCGTAATTCGAAGTATGTATGAAGCACATTGGTTGAGTTTTGCAACAACACACTGACTGATAAAAAGTCTGCGGTACTTTGAAAAATCCTGCATTATTGCGATCTTTGGGGAGTACACACATGGGGTAGTAGTGGTTGATCTGTTCTGTTGTGGGGAACCCGGTGTCCCTGTGACGGAGCTCACTCTTATACGAATCAAATATGTGGAAATTCATCAACCAGAGGCGCCTCTCCGGCAGGTCCATCCTCAGCACACAAGCAAAAAAAGAAAATAGTCGACTGTATTTTCACGACAATTTTTTGTTCTTGGTTTGTGCCGTCCCTGATATCTGACGAACGAGATCAGAGGTGATGTGGCCAGAGACGAGTGGGTGATCAACGGGTGCTGCATGCGGCTGATGCGGAACATCACCTACAAAAAAGAATCTTCGACAAGAGGTCAGGGCTCTTCATTCTCGGACAGGTCCATGAACACACGGTCAGTCGCTTAACCCCTCTGGGACTGGGCTCCTCCCAGCCCGCAAGGCGAGCAGCCTGGAAATGCGGCGGGACTATTCGAAAAATAGGGGGTCCGCAGAGCAGAAACGTCGCTTCTCTCAACTGAAAAAGAGACTTCTTGTCTAGAAGTCGAACCTGAGCTAAACACGCACGGCGGCCGTGTCGCCGCCTTGCAACACGCTGGGTACGTCTGTCGGTACACTAGAAAGGTTCCTCGGCCCTCAAAACATCACCGCGATTGTGCGCTCCCTGCGTTTTTCACCATCTCGGGTTGTCCCGTGTAGTCTCAAAACCAGTAATACCAAAATGATCACAAAAAATGATCACTAAATGGGCATCGAAGTTCCCTGGGGCAATAGGTTACTTCTGTACTTCTCGAGAAATACATTGGCAGGCGTTCCGCCTGGGCGCGTTTACCGCTGGTCTTGGTTTCAAGTGTTTGTCTGCAAACACAAGCACACCAGCACACCACCATATGGTCTAGTGCTGCTGTACAACTCCATGCGTGCAGGTTCGGGGTTTTGTTTCTATCATCCCCGGGTCGAAGAGACCGGGCTGACCGAGCACAAATA